GCGAAACAATATAGATGACATTTAGATCAACAGTATCGAAGTTTCAGACAATGAGACGTAGGATGGGTGTTTTGGTATACACTACGGAGCACTCTTCACTGCCACGCCCATTGATGCAGAGGCATATGAGAGAGAAATTCTTAGCAGAACGCCGAAGTTGTCTGATGACACCAAATCAGCTTTAGAGCTATCTATATCACCAATGGAAGTAAAAAGGTCTATAGATAAAATTAACTGCAGTAAATCTCCTGGGCCGGATGGCCTTTGTGCTTCGTTTTATAAGGACTTTGAAATGAATCATCGCAAGTATTCGCACATGTCTTAGATCAGGTTTATCAACTTGATGGCCTCCCTGGGTCCTTTAGTGAAGCACATACAGTTTGAATAGCCGAAACGGAACAGTTCGTGAAGTTAAAACTAGTTTCTTCGCATACGCCTGTATCAATAATTGTGATTACAAAATTTTAATGAAAGTACTATCCCGGCGACTTCAGCCTGTAATCGAAGAGTTGCTAGGGCCTCACCAAGCGTGCGGGATTATGGGACGCTCCATTGTCACCAATGCACACAAGATGCATTGTTTGCTTGATTGTTGAGACACCAATCAAGGAGAGGTAGCTATTCTACAGATTGATCTCCAGAAAGCTTTTGATTTTGTTTCCCACAACCTTCTACTAGCCGTTCTTGACCATGTCAGCGTTGGTTCCATAATCTGAGGTGGAGTAGCTAAGGCACACCAAAATTGCATGACCCAACTGGTAATCAAAAAGACGCTAGGAGATACAAATCACATAAAGTGTTCTGTCCGTCAGGGCTGCCCGCTGAGTCCCCTACTGTTCAGTTTACATATAGAATTGTTGTGCTTACCAATAACTCAGAACAACAGCATTCAATGCTTCAAGTTAGAATATTCGGAAGTTAAAATTCTGCCGTATGCCGACATTGTGGCTGTTTGTTGTACCGCTCAAGGTAGTGTTACCACTACCATCACTGTAGTTAAAAAATGGCTGTATATCCACGGAGTGAATGATGAAAAGTGGGGCGAAGCATTCGTCCGTCTATTCGTTCTTGCTTCCATCCGTCCATGCGTCGGTCTGTGTGACCGTACATGCGTCCATCCGCCCGTCCGTGCGTGTGTCTGTTCGTGCGTCTGTCCCTGCGTTCGTCCTAGCATCCACCCTTGCGTCCGTTCATGCATCCATCCATGCATCTGTCTGTGTGTCCGTTCGTCCATCTATTCAACACTCTAAAGACCACCACCTCACATCCTTTTATACCTTTTTTGTCAGATAGTGCTCAATGTACATGCCAATGGCTGCTAATGGGGAATGAGACACAGGATCATTCGGATTTTAGCTAACGCGCACGCCACAAACTTTTTATTTTTCAACAAATCACAGGATAAATCCCCACCGGCACCACCTTGCAGGTAAAAATGTAACACTTGTTACACACTATGACTACGACTACGAGGGACGAACGGGTGTCGCTTTAATGAGCTTCGCCCCTAAATGTGCGGCAATGTAACTGGCAGTCTTGTAAACTGGACAAAGTGTATCGGCTTCTGGCATGGAGAGTGGTCGTCCAGACCAGACTACTTTGCCAATGTTAAGTGGGTGAACACATCTTTCAAATATCTTGGTGTGCCACTAGAATATTTAAATATAACGAAAACTACTGGCAATAACAAGCGAAAGTAATCAGGACAAAAGCCAATAGATGCAATGTTAATGAACTGTTAGATGGTTTGATTGATATGTAGGGTTTAACGTCCCCAAACCACCATATGATTATAAGAGACGCCGTAGTGGAGGGCTCCATAAGTTCCAACCACCTGGGGTTCTTTAAAGTGCTTCAGAATCTGAGCACACGTGCCTACATTTCCGCCTCCATAGGAAAGGCAGCCGCCACAGCCGGGATTCAATCCCGTGACGTGCGGGTCAGCAGCCGAGTACTTTATCCACTAGACCGCCGCAGCGGCGCTGATCAACTGCTAGTGTTCTCGAGGACGACTGTCTGAAATCTTTTCTTTGCCTCAAAACGTTGGTATGTGGTGCAAGTATTGAATTGTTCAAGAACGAACATACAGAAGCTCCATCGCATCTTCGCAGTGTTCGCATCGGCCTCGAACTGGGAGTGATGCAGTCGAAACAATCTATTTTGAAGAGTGAAACGTGGAGTGCTGGGTCCATCGCATCTTTTCACGCACCAAGTCATAATTATGTTCTTATTGTTTTCGCTACACAATGAATCCTTTCTTACGTACAGTGTGCCAAGTGAGAAATATGTGGGCTTGATTGATATGTGGGGTTTTACTTCCTAAAACCACCATATGATTATGAGAGACGCTGTATTAGAGGCCTCCGGAAATTTCGGCCACCTGGGGTTCTTTACCATGCGCCCAAATCTGAGCACACGGGCCCCCAACATTTTTCCCTCCATCGGAATAGCAGCCATCGCAGCCGGGATTCGATTCCACGACCTGCGGGTCAGTAGCCGAGCACCTTAGCCACTAGACCACCTGGGCGGGGCCATATCTGGGCTCTACCTGGATACGTGGTTAGCACAACTGACATGACTGGTGCGTTCTGCAGGTATCTTAAGAGGTTATTTTAAGTGTACTGTATTTTCTGTTAGATTATTCAATGAATATTGTTTTTCAAAGATTCGCGAAAAGCTGTACAATGATGTGTGTGATGTTGTTCTACCTGAACTCCTGTACCGCGCCATGTGCACTGCAGGTGAAGCGTAAGATGTGCTTGAACAAGTGAAAAGATTGCAAGTGACTGCTACCGCTAAGTCCTTTTTCTAGCTTCATACGGGTACAATATCTGGTAGGACATTTGAAGCAGACTGTGGTTTTTACTCACAATGGGGAACGAATTGCCTTATCTGTGAAAAAATGGCCGCGTATCTGCATTTATTCTGCAAATGTCATCGAAATACGATAGTCTTGCGTGTGGAGAAAGTCAACAAAACATTTCTTTGATGTTCTGCTCAAGAAAATCGGTGAATGGTATTCTGGAGGCGCTCTGTTAGTGGGCCTCGAGCGTGCAGCGGAGGCGAACTAGTGCATCAAGTCACGTCACACGTGAGACTTGAGCGCCACCTAGCAGTTTTTTTTTTCAAAAACAAAGCACGTGGGTCTGAGACGGGTGGGCACGCCCGCCTCAGAGGTGATAAGGTGTAGAACGCAAGGCGACGGGTAGGGGCACCACCATTTCGTTTTAGCAAAGCGTTGGAAACACTCGCCTTTCCGTGCTAGCGTTGGATGGTCAGCGCTGCGTGATAAGCACTACGGTCCTAAAAATTACTTATGTATGGCTTCTTTAGTAAAAGTAACTCATGCAGAATATATACGTGTAGTTATTGTGTCCCAGACACGCGCAATATTTGCTTTTTAATCGACCGTTGCACAAGTATAAAAGCTGAATCTTGAGCAACATAGGTGGGCGCTGCGGATGGGGTCGGCCGTTTCAAACACCCGATGCTGTTAAAAGTGGAAAAACAGACAAATGTACAGACAGACAGACAGACAGACAAACGGATGGACCAAAATTTTTGCGTTGAAGGTCCCCAAGAAAGACTATCGTCTTTAAAACCAGAAACTATAGACCTTGTTTTCTAAAATTCTTGTAAAGAAATATACTCCTATGATGTACTTGAAACAACGATCAAGAAGAAATTGCCTTTAAATGCTTATGGTATAAGATTTCTGCCAATAGGTGATGAAGAGGGAACGTGTTTTGATTTGATTCTGCTATGTGGCCTTCACTGTTTATCACGGACACGTATGGCAAGATGTCATCGCAATCATAGTGCACGGTTTGGACGAATGTATTTCCGTGAATGTACGACAGAAAACTCAGGACATATTAACTGCAGAAAATTCACGAAATTATACCTGAGTGGATGTTGCGCGTAGAAACCTTGGCAGCACTTAGGCAATTTCAGTTTGAGTCTGACTTTCACTGCTTGTTTCTGTTATACTTGTAGTTTGATGTACGCTCCTATGAGCTTGCAATAAAGCAAAAAAGTACACTCTGTGGCTTGGTCGTTAGCGCTGCATGCTGAGAAGCCAGAGGTTGCTGGTTTGATTCCTCTCGACAGATTTTTGTGTTCTGTTTTTTTTTGCAATTTTCCTGCATATTTTTTCAACGTCACTTCCGTGACCGAAGTATGTCAGCGGAGTGGTTGTTGACCCCGGGATTACACACTTTCGTGTTAAAATCAATCAACACCAAAGCTCACCTAGACCTTACTCACGTTATTCTATCTTGCATGTGACGTGGATAAAGTGAACGTAACCAAACGAGAAAAAACCTCCCTTGCCGGTACTCGAACTTCAGGTTATCCTACTACACTGGAGCGCACACCGTGTGTGCTTCTTCCCTAACTCATGATACCATGAATGCACGCAAATTGTGTACTAGTGTTTCATATGACTAGGTTTATGTCATGTTTAGATGAGATGAACAATGCGTTGTGCCCACGGATACGTGGACACTTGCAGCTGCTATAACGGTTAAATTTTGATCGCGAGCGTTAGTCGTCCCGATCGAGATATGACATTATGCATTACATTAGTATAACAACGTCAATTGATGGTATAGCTCCCAAACACCAATAGATACTGTACAAGCTGTCACGTATCACTATACAACAAGCACTGCTTTTGTGAAAATGAGTTTCACTTTCCTTTGTATGTTGAGGGTCTGACCATCTACAAAATAAACTTCACAAGCTTTATTAGAAATTAAAATCTTGTGATCTGCATTCTACAGTTTTTGCACAGCCTATTTTCTTGAAATGGATGGTGACGCCAATATTAGGAGGCGTTGGACGTAGCTTTTTCTGGTGAAGAACCAGTGCACAAATTTGTTTTGCCTGATACATATAAGCAAAGTAGGTCCTAGATTGGTTAGTTCCTTTTGAAATACCGTTAACGGAAGTCTTTAGCACTGTGCAGCTGCAAGCACTTTTCGTTTTCATGTCTTCAGTTTGGAACGGACCGGGAATGTTCTGCGTGAACAAAACCTTAAACCCAAAGCTCTGCAAAGATGGGCCGCCATTAAAACCTATAGCAGGCCCGATAAATGACTCAGGTAAGACATAACATCTTTGATTCCTATGCTTTTTTTTTCAAAACAATAAAAACATTGCCTTCAGATCGCAATGCACGCTGTTATATCTAGGTTGCTGCATGCTCTCTTCGTTTACTTCATTGGAGGCATTTCGGTGCGAAAGTTCGGATGAACGCACCCAATGATTTTAAATTCTTAAAACTTTGAGGTGGTGTATACCATTCATACACCTGAACACTCCGATTTGATTTGTGGGGTTTAACGTCCCAAAACCACCATTTGATTATGAGAGACGCCGTAGTGGAGGGCTCCGGAAATTTTGACCACCTGGGGTTCTTTAACGTGCACCCAAATCTGAGTACACGGGCCTACAACATTTCCGCCTCCATCGGAAATGCAGCCGCCGCAGCCGGGAATCGAACCCGCGACCTGCGGGTCAGCAGCCGAGTACCTTAGCCACTAGACCACCGCGGCGGGGCACACCTGAACACTCCGAGTACTTACTTTTGAAATCAGAACAAAAGTTAGCTTCGAAGGGAATCAAGCTTGTATCTTAAAGGAACCGGCACATAGTAGGCCGTAGTTTGAGCCATATAACAAGTAAGAGTCATACAGGAAGACATGTGCAACCCGACAGGTTGAACAGAAACTGGGAATTCCTTGATCAGTTTTTAGCTATGATGACGGGTTATGGAGCAAGCGAAAAAATAAACACCTATAGGGTCTCAAGATTGAAGAGCGTTTTATCAACTCTCTAGGCCCTGCCTGCAATTAGGTTTACATTCACCTTCTTCGGCACCTTGATACACTTCTTGAAACAATTAGCCTAACCTTGGTTTTTCGAACAACGACTTTGGTCTCTTCCATACCTGTGGTTGCCTGCGTTGATGCTTTACCGCAATGCACCCTCCCTCCCAAAACAAACGATCACGGGAAAATATTATGACGGGCGTTTCATGCCATGCCACCTAAAATTCCAAAGAAATTAATGCCACAGTTTATTGTATACAGGTTATTGGGTTGTATACACTTCTTTAGTGAGCAATCATGTTACTTTACTGTCTAGGCAAAGAATATTTTCTTATTTATATGCTAAAGAAAGGGTATTGCTTGCTTCTTACCCTCTGCCATTTGTCATAGTCTAATATTTCGAATTATGGTTCAATTGATTTCATCCTATTTAAAGAAGCCTAATGTCACATCGAGTCATTCTTCCATGCGTTATTGTCACAATAGAGTTTAACTACGTGCCCCTATAAATCAAGACATGTGTGGTTCAAAATTCCAGAACATTCCCTTATTGAGAAATGGCGGGCAAGTAATGCTTAGCGTGTGTTTGCCTTAACTACTGTTTTCCTTTCCATTCTTTTTGTTTCTCTTTGTCTGCTCTTGTGTTATTGGAAGGCTGTTTTCGAGTGGAATCGGCAGCCGTCTTTTATGTCGGGCCCAGCATTCATCCACCAAATAAATGACCCATCGAGAAGACTATTCTAAGAAACAAAAGGCAGCTTAGAAACGCAATTTTTCGAACTCGAATTTCGCTGACATTTACGATTTTAATGCTGGCTTTACGCATCAGCCGGCCAGTCACCTTTAGTCCACCAACGTCAAACATTTAAATAAAGCGCCCACTGAAACGCTGATCATTACGGTTTTTTCATGTTTGGTAGAACTCATTTCTTTAATTCGGCAAGTGACGTGTTCGTAATTTTTTGTGCTTGATTTTTGAAGATGCGTGGCAGGGTATGCAGGACACCAACCGTCAGGTAACGAAAACGCAGATTAAACCTTAGCATTGAAAAGAAACTGTATTGTGTTTTATTCTTTATTTATTTTTTATTTTGGATGCTGCAGCTGGGTAACAGAGTGTCTTTCATCAACGACCTGCTTAGGCCGCCGTACGCCGCGGTGGTCTAGTGATAAAGTACACGCCTGCTGACCCGCAAGTTGTGCGAAGGAATCCCGGCCGTAGCGGCTGCATTTTCGATGGAGGCGAAAATGTTATAGGACCGTATGCTCGGAATTGGGCACACGTTAAATAATTCAAGGTGGTCGATATTTTCAGAGCTCTGCTCCACGGCATCTCTCATAATCATATGGTGGTTTCGGGACGTTAAACCCAACATATCAATTAATCAATTATTCAGGCCAACGTAGAAGTTTTGCTGTGAACAGAAACCCGTCAGCACTTTGTGTATACCAGCAACCACCAATGTCACAGATTCACCACACGTACTCCCTGGGGGAATAGCCTGGCCTGCTCATCCTCTACTTCATCGTTACGGCCTTCATTTTTTAGCTTCACCTCCATTTAGGAATCGATACAAAGTGCAAGTGAAAACTGTCCTCACAGAGTCAGTTAAGCTTTCATTGTGCATGGTTTCGCCACAAGAGCGAAGGGATGAGTGCTGCAGTAACAAATTGCAGTATCGCGCGAAAAGTGGCTGCAGCTCGAAACTCGCAGCGCAAACTTCAAGCAGAAAGCACGAACGAAAGGAGCATATACACGGGACGAGTGCGGACAAACAGCTGTTGCAGCTCGACACTCAAAGCAGTGAAGTTCAGAAGGGTCGCTGATCGGGCGAGTTGGTCCTCTATGAACGTAGCTTGTATTAGCGCAGTACCTAAAAGAAAGGGACACGACACAGACGTAGAGATAGGTAGGCGCTAACCTATCGTGCCTACCAATCTCTGCGTCTGTGTAGTGTCCCTTTTTTTATAAACTGCGCTAATACAAGCTATACTCAAAGCACGCTGCTCAAGCAGAAAGAAAGGCGTACGAGACGAACATAAAAGCATACAGCTGGATGAACACGAACACGGGTCACCATTCTTACTTCTTCGTGTTTGGGCAGCGTGCTCCTTTCAAGCTGGCTTCAACACTGCAACTTCAAAACGTGCTTGCGGGGGAAGCAGAAGAGGTACAGAGCGCCCGAATCCCTAGATAAGCACGCGCGCGATGAAGCCACCATGCAAGATATTATTCATACGCACTTTCACCACGCCATGTGGAGAGACGCGGGCACATCCACGTGCGGCGTGGCGCGGCACAACCAGCTTTAGAGCGCGCACCCACAACGCGCACTCGTCGTGCCAGCTCCCTAACAATGACGGAAGCTTGCTGAAGTGTCGAGCTCGAAAGAGAGCCAGCAGTATCTGGTGTATATAAATAGCTCGCCGTTCACATATGAGAGTAGGGTCAGTCGGTAGCTCAGTGGTTAGTATCGCGCGCGTTGAAGCATGATGTCGCTAATTTGACGTCCTGCTGCGGAATTGTTTGTTGTCGTTTTTTTTCTTTTATATCTTTTAGTTCCTATTTCACAACGTCATATCCGTGAAGGAAAGACGTCACAGATTTGTGGTGAACCCTGGCGTATATATATACCGGAGCGAACTCTCGCGCAAGTGTTGAAGGGAGCTGCAACACGTGATGCTTCAGCAAGAATGGGGTTTATGGGTAGTAAGTGGATTTGCCTAATCTTCCTACTTTACGTTGCATTTGGATTTGCATGCCTACAAGCTGTTATGTCGCAAAACAACAATCAGCAATATTTTGTTCGTTACGCTTTGCTACCCAAATTTTTTGAGCTCACCAGTTCAGACCTTGTCACAAAGTTCAGAAGGCTTTTTCTTTTATTTTCCTAAAATTGAAACACAGCCATAAAAAAGCAATAAGCGCGATTGGAAGCCCGCAAGTACGAAGCCTAGGCAAATCCATTTGCTACTTGACATTCCCGTGCTCAGTGAAAGAACGCAGCGCCGCAGTCAATTTAATTTTGAACGATCGCTGTCTACTTAATTTTAGGAATTTCTATGGACCCGGGCATAAAACACGTTCGTGTTAAAAAGCAGAGAAATTTTGGGAATCTAACAAACAGGGACAAAGTCACCGACGACTGAAAAACTTCTGACCACCAATTATAAATGTTGGTAGGTCTTTCGGCAAGGCCAACTATGTGAAGTTAAGGCTTTTCTCCAAGGTACCAACTAAGAAATCAATACTTGAAGGACCTGTTAACGAACCCCAAGTTTTCAAAGCACCCCTATGTCAATGTTTGTATTCCTTCGGATAACGACATATTGTATAAATATTTGTAATGCCTTTTGTATACTTTTTGTCGCTTAAAAGATATTGGCGTATTCCCACAAGGTACATTGTCCAAACTGTGTCCCACTAAAATTTTAAATATAAAGCCACCTAAAAAAGACAGAGAGGGAACTCAGAGGAGTACAAGATGTAACGTACACACAAAAGTGAAAGGAGTTAAAGTGTTTGAAACACCAGAGATTAAAAAAATGGGCGACCATTAAGATTCGCCTTCAAGAACTGAAGGCGAGAGTGAAATCCGGCCCTTAGTGCACCCCTCAACCACTAAGTTCACACTTATTCATCTGTTTTACACACACACAGCCACGCACACATACACGCACAAAGTAGATTGGACCAGCGCGCGCTATTATCGCCGAATCGGCTCGTTTTTGTCGTGACACCTGTCGAACAAAAAGCGTTGAAGGGGCCCTGCAACACTTTTCAAGTAACAATTCAATGATTCCACTAAAAGAGCTTATTGCTTCACGAATTCAACGCTGAAAAAATTTAAGAATACGTCTATTGCGAGTGTTGTTACAAAGGTTTATTGCATGCTGCAACTGCATTCTCTCTTCTCTCGTCCCGACAAAAGCGCTGAAAGCTAAGCAGGGAGGGGGGCAGGACAAAGAAACTACCGCGCCTCTTGACCTTGAGCACTTTTTTTTCTTCAAATGCGGGGCTTTTTCAATGTGATCACGCGCACGCGTGGGAGAAGTAGTGGCCTCCCGCAGCTATTTCGGTAACTTGATTTTTCCGTCAGACACACAGACGATTTTTCGCTCAAAACCAGTGGGCCCGACACCTAAGGCGAGTTTTTGCAATACGAGCTCGTTAACGCCGCCGCGCTAAAATATAGAACAAATTTGTGGTGGGGGGAAGAATGGTACCCATCAAGTGGTATCACTAGCAACTTATCCTTTTGGTTGTTTTA